TTTTCTAGCAAAAGTGATTATATTATTATTATTCAAGAACAAAGTTTGTTAATTAAATAAGTACATAAAATAAATAATATGATTAACCAGGAAACATCAATTATGATGAGATTTGGCTTAAGGGTAAGCTATATTAATATGTTAATTAGTGTTGAATTTTTTTCGGGAATTCAAAAAACTTGCGAGTAATATGAGTCAAACAATTTTTTCTTTAGGTTTATTAATTATGTATTATTGACTAACCTTTAATTATTGTCCCATTTTACTTCAAATTTGGTTAAAGTAGTCCTTTTCAAATTTGCATGAAACCAAAAAACATGACTTTTATAAATGTGACCTTTAGAATACAAGGAAGAAATAGTAAAAGCGCTAAGGAACTTTATAATCACAAGAAAATAATTTTGGATCCTACATAAGCAAAATTTTAAAAATTTATACACGCCAAAAAAAATTTTTTTTTATAACAATAAACTCCATATGATAATTTAACCAGGAATGCGCCCATGTGCTTGACAGCATTAATAGCCTTCAATCTTATCAAGCTTCCTGATACGCATCCATAAATTTCTTTGGATATATGCGCATTCGTTCAATAGAGACTGAATTTAAAGCCTCTAAAGCTATAACCTCCATATTTCTAAAAGTATAATCTTATTTGGCTCATGCATACCTTTTGGCTGTTTCTGATTAGCGTTGGCTTCCCAAAACTATAGAGTTTCGTAATTGTGTGAAAGTCGAAACTTGTTTTGACTTTTGCTTCTTCAAAATAGTTTAGACGACCAACATTATTCTCCAATAAAGTTCAATTCATAATGAAACATATTGTTGACTTTTGAACAATTGATCTTTCTTCCACAAAGTAAGGTTGAAGTGAAAAAAAACTGTCTGCATAACAATCATATTTAATTGGCGAATGTTTTTTTACAATCATTGTCGGAATTTTTTCAAGCTTTTTTCGCCGTTCCACAAATCTCTTTCTCCCAGAATTTTTTCAATTCCCTCGAATTGGGCCATTTGGAAAATGCATTTTTGGGGAGTGCTATCTGAAAACTTTTCATCATAATATTTTTCGTTTCCATGAGGTTTTAAATTCATCGCGTGAGCTGACAAAGCGTCTAATTAAAATGATGAATGGCTAGTTGCATTATCAAATGCAAATATAGAAATACAACCACAGAATCTAGATAAAGCTTGTTAAATATTGGAATTGTTTTTTCCTAGTTTTGTTGTAAAGAGGATTAGTGATTTTTTGGAATAAAAAATAATCAATAGATTCATCTGTTTAACAATCACTCAGTTGTTTACCATATCACACGAGCTTCCTTTTTTTCAAGTAATTGTCGGGAAACGTCGTGGATCGGGGTAGACCCATAATAATAATAATAATAATAATATAATAATAATAACACGATTAGCTAATTTAAATATTAATATATTAATGTATAAATGATCGGACCATGCGTGTATTTATAATATTGTGACACCAAAGAATATCATCGATTTGAAAATTTGGCACTCGGCACAGCATTTGATGTCTTGCACTATTAATCGAGTTTTCGAGTGAACGCTTTCAGAAAATCTCGATAGTCCACTATTTCTGAACTTGTTTATAAAACAGACTGTAGAAGACTTCCTTTCTTGAAAAAACTGTAGGTTAATGCGTTTTGAAAAAAAATAAGATTTCCAAAAAATATGCAAGGCTAATAATATCTTATATCGGACAAAAAATGTTCTATTCCGAAATTAGATTTTTTTTTACGCCTTTATTAATAATTGTTAATTAATTGTTAATTAAACAAGTTTTTAAACCGAGATGCAACGGTGAGTTTTGTCGAAATACAGATTAGCATTATAGTGCACACCATCCATCTAAAGACATCTAATGTTACGTGAGAGCATCCAAAAACGGCAATGATGTTCTTTGATTCCACTTATTATTATTATTATATATATGTTCATTCGGAGCATCAATATTAGCATTGGATGCAAAGTATCCTAATACCCTATTATGTGTTCATGATTAATGATGTGATTTTTAATAAAATAGACTATTATGTGGCCAAATGAGAATTTATCTAGTAGTTTAATAAATTACTACAAAGACCAAGTTTACAACTGAGAACGCAAACGTGAGCTTTAACATCATATTAACATTAAAGTTAAGTTGGGTTTGGATTGCATCTTCTTCGTCGTAAAATCACATCAATTGGGTCAAGACAATAGTATATTTTATTAAATTCGAAACATGTAAATAGGGCGGCTGTCACTAACAAATTTTTCGTAACGTCAACGTTGAAGTATTTCGAGTTTACAAATGGAGTACACTATGCTATGTAAGCACATTCAAACCACGAAATCACACCATCATATAGTGAGTGATACCTGTCAACATTTTAGAAATGGTTTACATTATAATGCTTGCCAAGAGGAAGAAGCTAAAGATTTGCTTAAAAGATTTAAAGAACATCTGTCCAAGGCCAAAGTAGAAAGAAATTATTATAATAAAAACACCAAATTAGCAGAAGAACAAAGAAAATTATTTAATCAAAATTATTCAAAGGGTAAAGCACAATATTGCAACATTGATGCTACTGCTCATTATAGTTATGATTGAGCCCAAAATGTTCATGTGCCACATTTAGATCAACAAGTAAGTAAAATTTATTACCTTAGTCCATGTAAAGTTCATTTATTTGGTATTCAAGATGAAGCAGTAAGGGAGCAAATTAACTATGTTCTTAATGAAAATGAAATTATAGGAAAAGGACCCAATGGCACTCTTAGTTTGATTTTTGATGGAATTAAGAAATTGAACAAAGGTGAAAAACATTTAAAGATTACTTGTGATAATGCTGGTGGACAGAATAAAAATAATACTACTATTTGGTTTTACCTGTATTTAGTAATTTGTGGTTATTATGAAAGTATTGAATTGAATTTCATGATTCCTGGACATACTAAATTCAAATGTGATGGTAGTTTTGACATGATTAAAAAACTTTATAGAAAGTCAAGAGTAGATTGTCTGGACCATGTAGTTGAAGTAGTGAAAAGGTCTAGTCCAGCTGGATTGAATAAAACTCAATGCTACAAGGTAGGAAAAGGTTTTCAATACTTAGATATTAAAGTTATTTTGGGAATTTATTTTAAGGAACTAAATGGTTTGCAAAAGTATCAACATTTTTTTTTTTTGAAGCATCTGTCTGATCTTGGTACAGTGAAAGTTCAAGGACCTTTTTCTGAATTCAATTTGCTGAAAACCAAGAAAGCGGATATTTTTGAAGAAATTAGAATTTTATCTATTTTAGTGTTAACTCCACCTCCTTTGGATTACAAAAGGCAAGAATACCTTTATGATAATATTCGCCCATTTGTGAAAAATGAATACAAAGATGTTATTTGTCCAAGACCATTCTATACTGGCAATAAATAAAATATTTAGAATAAAATCACCTTCATTACTTCATCACACTTGTTAATTTGTCCCCTTACTGTCATTAAGTTTAATAAGTTTAATCTTTTGACAAATATTGTTAGCTTTTCCCACTTTAAAGTAAAAAAGTACTAAAATAATTTATATACTTAATATATCATCATAAGAAGGATATAAGTAGATTAAAAGAATAAATAAAAAAAGGAACAAGCAAATAAATCATGAAAAACATAATAAATGAACAACAACAAGCAAATAAAGAACTATTAAACAAAATTGTTGATTTAGAAAAGCAGTTAGCTGATAAAGATCAAGAAAGAGAACAATCAATAGAAGAACTTAAATTAAAAATTTGAC